AGTTGGAGCTGGCATGTATCACAGACTGAAAAGCAGTTTCTCCAACAATTTGATCAAGAGCAAAATCACTGAGCTTCGGTTCGAAATCTTTGTCCAAGAGAATGTTTGTTGACTTTAGGTTCCTATGGAGTAAGTGTGGCGTATAATCTTTGCTAATGTATGCCAATGCTTGAGCAACACCTAGTGCTATCTTCAACCTAACGCTCCACTGCAGCTGATCGCCGGACCTCGATAGCATATCATGTAAGCTTCCGTTTTCTGCGAACTCGTAGATCAAGAAGATCAATTCGTCTGTGAAACAAAAGCCAAGAATTCGAGTAATGTTCTTATGCCGTATCTTTGCTATGGTTCTCACTTCAGCTTTCAGAGCTTTCGAGGATATATTCCTAGAATTCACGAGCTTCTTCACAGCTATTAACTCGCCACTCGATAAACTGAGAACGTATACTTCACTCCCGGAAGGACAACTTTCATTCATCACTTTCATCAACTCATGCTCGGTTAACCTGAGGGGATGATAAAACTCTGACTGCCAATCACTCTTAAACTGAGCTTTCTTTCGATAATGTCGATATGACATGATGAGGGAAATGGCAAGAGCAAGTGCTAAACATATTAAAAGTAACAACAAAGCTTTAACTCCTGTTTTATGGAAGCTAGACTGATCAGCGGAGCAAGAATTGGGTAAACCGAGTCCACAAAGCCCGGGATTTCCTTGCAGAAAGGAAGCTGGTAACCCGGTGACCAGAGAGTGAGGTACCTTGCCTGATAGTCGATTGAACGACACATTGAAGAGAGCAAGCTTCAGGTTCTGAAAGTCTTGCGGGATCATACCAGTAAGCTTATTATCGGACAGATCAAGATAAGTCAGAACATGTAAATCAGCAAGTGACGGTGGGATTTCTCCAGTAAATGCATTGCCTGCCAGAGACAAAGAAACAAGCTTCTTGCAATTCTTAAGTTCTGGGATCTTCCCTAAGAGCCTATTGTGAGAGATGTTTACAATACTAAGGACAGGTGAGTCACAGAAATTCGGCGGTAATTCTCCATCAAACCCATTTTCTGAAGCAGAAAACTTATACAAGTTCTTAATCAGTCCAAGACCGTGTGGTATTTCACCAGAAAATGAATTGTTGTCAATCTCAACTTGCTCTAATGCAGAAGCCAAAGACACAGAATCAGGCACTTGACCTGTTAACCGATTATTATCCGCTCGGACAATCTTGATCTTAGGTAATGACCATAATCCAACTGGAAACTCACCAGAGAATCCATTGTTCTGCACTTGAAACCTCTCCAGACTAAGGCATTCACCAATGGAGCTAGGAAACGACCCTTCAAACGAATTCGAGTGAAGAGAAAGGTTAATAAGACTTTTGCCACTGCAAATGCCACTAGGGAAAGAACCAGATATCTTGTTCTGTGAGACATCAAGAGACACTAAGTTCTTGAGAGAAGCCCCAATCGATCGAGTGATCTCACCGGTCAGGTTGTTCAGACAAAGATCCAAGATTTTCAAACTTGTCAAACCCACAAACGAAGTTGGAATCTCTCCATGGAATCCTGACCTATGCAACAGAAGCTGTTCAAGCTTGTCTAGTTTCCCAATAAAAGAAGGAATCTCACTAACAAGATAACTGTTTTCAGACAAATCAAGAACAACAAGCTCACTTAGTTTCCCAATTGCAGGAGGGACACTACCAGTGAGCAGATTACTTCCCAAGTTGAGAACTTGAAGATTGAACAGTAGCCCTAAGTCTTCAGGAATCTTACCCTCCACATGGTTACTGCTGAAATCAAGAACTTTCAAGGAACTAAACTCAGAAATCTGATCAGGGATTGTTCCCCAGATAAGATTAGAGCTGAGATTCAGAGTCTCTAATGTAAAACATGAAGACAAATGAAGTGGGATCGGCTGATTGAAGAAGTTTTGAGAGAGGTCAAGGTGAGTGAGGTAAGGGAGATTACAAATAGAGTCAGAGATTTCACCGGAAAGATTCAAACTTTGAAGGTTTATGGAAGAAACGTAAAGAGAAGGAGCTCTGGTACATGTAATGCCAGTCCAATTACAGTGGTGAGAGGAAGTGTTTGACCAACCTGAAAGAGAGCCCTTTGGATCATCAATGGAGGCTTTGAATCTGAGAAGAAAACCAAGTTCCTCGTTTTCTGTGAAAGAGAAGGTCGT